TTGTAGAGCTTAAAAAAACAAATAATTTAGTATATTGAAGCGTTATTATGCGCCTAATGGTTACGGAGAAAATTCTAAAAAATTGTAAATTTAAAATTCCCATTCTATTCTTATGGAGAATAAGTAAACTGTTGTAGTTTGCTTGTTTATGAACATATTTTGATCAAATTTGAAAAATGTTTTTATTTCTTGCTAACTATTAACATAAAAAAAAAACAGTTTTACCTCCCTGATGCAGCAAACCTAAGTACTTGTTAAACTAATTCTATTTAAATCGGGAATAAATGTTATATTTTTAAGTAGACATTTCAGTGTAAATCAAATGGAAATTCGCTTAGTCTGCAGGTTTGCTGCAGCGGGGGTATTTAAATATTCAACGTAGTTACATAAATAACACACAAAACATAAAATACACAAACAAATAAAAAGCATAAAAATGCAGTTTGGAAAAATATTTTAGGTGATTAGGTTGAAGCAGCGACTACAAAACTTTAAGAATGTTCCGATATTTGGATTGTTTATAATTTTAAAATCCCCTTGTTCGTGACTATATGTTAGCTCGAATTGATTAGGGGTTTAGGTTGGATAAGAAAAAGTACAGTCCAGCAAAAACTTCGCACCACGGCCTTGCTGGCGTTGCAGTCAAGAGGGAAGCTATCGTCAAGAAGATACACCATACTTTGCAAAAAAATATATAGGCCTATTTTTGGTTTTGGTCAGAGAGGTTCTGCCTGTGGCTAAGTTGTAGCCAATAGTTTAATGCATAAAATAGCCTGTATTTTTTAATTTTTTACAAACAATGTTTCTGTAGATTGCTTAAACAGGTAGGGCAATTTAGCATTTTGCAACGTGTAGAAAGAAACTACAATCGTACGCGTTCCGTATGGACTAATGTTTAATTACCTAAGGACAAAATAAAAATTAATTTATCTTTTACTGACTTTAAAAAAAAAGAAAAACTGCAAAATCGGCATGTAAACTGCGAACTCAATTAGGCATTTTACCATCACTAACTTTAACAACAAAACCAAGATACCCGAAAACGCCAAATAAAATTTTAACAAAATGAAAAATTACATTTGGATTACTCCATTTGCCAGCCAATTCTGCAACATACTGTATACTATATGAAACCAGGGTTAAGGTTACCTATATTAAATTAAGACTTTTTAGGGTTATAGAATGTTGAAGTAAATTATTTTACTGTGAAACTTTTCAAATTTGTGTATTTTTAACGTTTAACATGAAATAACCTCGTTGACTAAATAATTAACGATTCAAGATGGAAAACTCCTGCTTTGGTTTTATTTCAAAAACATTATAATGAGATGATATATTCTAAACGTTTCTGTAAACATTTGACGCTTACTTTAGAGTTTAATCAATATTTTGTTTAAAGTGGAATGACCTCAACGGCTACTCTGGAACTAACCTGAGAATTAAACTAAAAAAGTTCGTAGAGACAATATATTTTTTCACTAAAGCAATTACTACGACAAGTTTCAGTGAGCGGGATTTATTAATTTTGTTTGGAGAAGGTTTTAACTAGGTACATTCTGTTTCTCAAAGGAAAAGGGGTTAAAATCATATATACTAGCATGCATAGTATGAATAAAGTACAGGGAAAACCTATAACAGTAATATTTTGAGGTAGTTTCCTTTTCTTTATATGCTTGTCAATGCTGGAGAAACGTAATTTAGTGATTGGTTTCGACAAATGGGTAATCAAACCCTAACCATGCACTGCAGTGGCAAAAATGTTAGACGAGAGCCGTTGATTAGCTTTTTCAAATATAGATGAATATAAACTCGTTAAATGTTTTAAAATAAAATCATAATATATCCATTGAATATAACATGTAATACTATCTAACTACTAAATGGCTAAAGAGGATGAAGAAGCAAATAAATAGGTATTGTAATGTGGTCTCAACCATGGTCTCAACTATGAACCCGCTGAACGTTTTAAATAGGCCTATTTCGATAGAATGTAAAGTCAATCGCACTTTTAGCAGGAATTCCACCACATAAACTTAGAATAAGAGTAGTTTCTATTTTTGTTTATATTATTTTGACCAGAACCAAATCTAGGGTAAAGTTTAGTCAAAGGGATGCATTTACACTAATTTAGTTTACCTTAACGAAAGGAGAATAAAAGTAGAAATAATAACTGGGCCAGGTCGCTAATTCAGTGGGTTTTACCAAGAGCTTAAATTATCTCCACATCTTTATATGCCTTTTCATATTTCACGAAGACAATTTCCGAAATTACAATCGGGGAAGCATTTATATCAAAGAATTTTGTTAACTATAGACTACCGGTAAGCATTAAAATGCACAAACATACGCCTGTAAATTAAGTTACCATTCTTCGTAATGTAATGACATATTTGATGTAATATAATGATAATTAAATGCTAGAAACTCAGTTTCTATATCCCGTAAACTGATGCTGAGCCGGCCAAACTCCTAGCGCCAATGCCGCGCCAAGCGATTTTATGCCTATTTTTAATCGCTTAAAAATGATACAAGCAGGCTCCGTATCAAAAAAAGCTTCAAATAAAAAATAAAATTCATACTTTGAACTAAAACTTTGCCGCAGGAACTTTTTTCCTGACCAAAAAATAAAAAAGTTCCTCGCTTACTACATTTTTTATGTTTTTTATGGTGTTAAAAAACAATCATCTGTTTTAATTTGCCTAAATAAATTATACAAATTATGTTAAGGTAAAAACTAGCTACATAGTAATGAGCACTGGTTTTTCCAGAAAAATAATATATCAATTTGAAATTTGTATGTTAACAAATAAGTGTAGCAGAGCAGGTTGAGTGAATGTATGTTTGTGTAAAACAGAGAGGTTCATTCGGCCCGTCCGCCTCGGTATCCCGCCAATTCGATTGTCTTATGGCAGAGACTGTACCGTTGGAGCTTATGAAACTTGGAGGTTATGAACCACTCTGTTTATTTGATATTTAAAAGTTGGAGTTTGTGAAATTTGGACATTGTGAAACTGTGCTTATTTGAAAGTTATAGTTTTGGAGTTTATGAAGTTTGGAGGTTATGAAACACACTGTTTATTTAATATTTTAGACGTTGGAGTTTGTGAAATTTGGACATTATGAACCTCACCCTATTTACTCATAAGTGATGCAATATTTAGACATAATATAAAGAAAAATATAAACAAATTGTAAAAAATAAATAGGAATATCAAAATTACGCAAAATAATGGTTGAAAAATAAGACCAAGTGATATATCAAACATTATAATAAAAAAGTATGCATGAATTGTAAAAAATATTTATTCACGATAAGAAATACGCAAAGTGATATAACAACTATAATAATGACGAAGTATGAGTTAATTGCAAAAAGTATAGGCCTACAGTATATAAGACTACTGGGGAGAACGCACGACATACGATAAAAATCGTATAGTGGGCGAGCGCCCATTTGATCGTACACGCCACTGCGAGTTAGACAGTCGTACGACAGTCGTGTATCACAGTGGCAGTGGACGACTGCTTCACGACAGTTTGTCGTAGTCGTGAGATTATCGTACAGTGGGCGAGCTCTCATAAGATCCAATGGTTCACTGCGGAAATGTTGTCGTTCCGACACAGTGTCGTACGACCGAAATCGTATAGTGGGCGAGGGGCCTTCGTGCTGCGTACAACTGTTACGTCACAATACACAGGCTGCAACTGTTCATAAACGCTAGATAGATTATTTGAGCCAGAGGTAACGGTAACTATTGAAACTTGGCATATGCTAAGGATATGTAAATGAGAAAAAGTGTATAACGTTACGATTTGAAGGAAACCAACCTAACCTAACCTAACCTAGCCCTATCCTAACCTAGCCTTTTAACCTAACCTAACCTGATCTGACCTAACCTGTGTCTGAATCTAGAGTCCAGTCCTTCAAGACCTAACCGAATCTACCACTTACACTCACCTAACCTAACGTAACGATTCATCTACACCACCCGCTTTGCAAATTATTGTAGGGAGGCTCTTCAGTAAAAGAAAACTATCCTACTACTCTCTTCTCTAAAAGACCCAATTCTAAGTTACAGTATAATACAAATATAATGCTTATTTTCAACTCATCCTCCATGAACTCAAGTTACATAAATTTAGTTTATTTCACTCATGCCCACTTCGAATACGCATGAGAGACAAGTAGTTGTCTCTATGACATCACCGTTATAAACCAGTAACATAGATGTCTGTGGTCCGCCGATAAGCTCTGTGCTGATAAGCAAACGGTCGCTGGCTGATTACAAATTTAAAATTATTCAGCTTGAAATTCATCGTTGTATTTCCCCGGACACTTTCATTGTTTGTAATTCTCGCCCCAGTTGAGGTATTGATTGTTATTCAGTTCCGGATTATTATCGTCTAGTTTTCGCGGCTATTGAGTCCGTCCAATTTGAAATAATGGGTCTCGACATAATCTTGTCGGTTGCACATCGATTGGGATATTTATAGTTTTGAATTAGTACTTGCCATAAATTTTCATTCTTCATTGTCATTAAAAACTTAAATATTGTGGAGAAATTAAGGTGCTACTTACCACCGGCTACGTCATATACATCTAGCAAAATCCATAAATGGATTGACAGCATTTGCATCCATACAATTACTGTACCCTTGGTTTAAAGTTGAAGACTTAACCAGGCTGTTTTTCTGATCACTCATTTCGATCCCTCCATTTCCTGTCGTCCTATCCGGTTACTATACCCTGAGTGATGGAACCTGTCTCCTGACCCTTTGTCTTGAGACTGGCCAATGGCATATGACACGGGTCAATCCTAGGTGGATGAACCAGGAGACTGGTTCCATCATACCTACTATAGTCAGTGTGCTTACCAACCCACCTCTTACACTTCATATAGCACCAAAGCCCTATGTTTATATTTTCTTCATCTTCCTCAACATAACTACAGTCCCTCCTGTATTTATGTGCACTGTTGTGACTCGTGTTCTGTTTCCAGGTGATCATGGGAGACCGACCCGCAGCCGAGAGGGCGTGCAAGGATCCCAACCCCATCATCGACGGCAGAAAAGCCAATGTCAACCTAGCCATCCTGGGGGCGAAGCCCCGGGGCAACGTTCAACCAGGTCAGAGCTTTGGTTGTGACATTTCATGTAGGTATTACTTCCTGTGCTCTTTATATTATTCCCAAGGATGATCTGTATTGAGTTTTCCGCCGGGCTTTCCTATGTTTGGGTAGCTTAATTGACATAAATAAAACTCGACTGATTGCCTTGAGGTCGCGAGTTATATCATGAGGAGTTTATCAGTCGCATTTTGAGAAGTTTCTAACCACCCCTGTCATTCATGTTGTTGACAGCAGATCTTGCTCCACCTCCATACAAGAAATCTCCCTCCCCACACTTGTGTTTTATTCATACTTTGGTTAAAATTCCTTTAGTAGTGAGCCCATCTCATTGTAGTGTACTGTATTGCCATTGACTATTAGATACTGAAATTGTATTAATAGTCAAAGGTACTACCAATTGAAATAGATACGCAACTTGACGTATTTTTACCCAAGTATGACAGAAGGAACAGTGTATGAAATGATCTGTGTAGCGCTAGAGCTATGATACGATTTAATTATTTATTTAGCCAACCAAGATCATGATTTATCAAAAGCTCAATGGTCAATGACAGTTGGGTCTAGTTTCGAAGCATCAAAAGGCATAAGTACTGACTTTTCTCAAGACACGACGACGTCTTCTTGATTAATATGTGAGCACTAAAACCACTTACTGAATGTAATGTCGTAGCGGTCCTATTATAGACTACTCAATTCTTCTTTGTTAGACCGTTTATACAGAATGTACAACTGAAACACCGCAAGCTTCGTCAGTTGCCTAGTCCAACCACAGCTGTTTCAGTCCAGGGTCGTGACTATAGAGTATAGATTGTCAGTTGGCATTGTACATATTTAGGTGAACTCGCCGTATGCTGTAGCACGCCCGCTACTCCAAGGTTAAACTTGTTACGGCTTTTAAGATAAACTAGACCAAAAGCCGTTTACACTCGTCAAAGTGGTTTTACACTGTTCATGGCATTATCATTTCCCGCGTTTTTATTCCTCTTTAATAGCGCTTGTTTA